TTTGTAATAGTGTGCCTGCAGAGAGAGAACTATACAAAGGAAGTACAAACAGTGCACATTGTGTCAGGGGTGCAAACAGGCATGATAAAAATTCATATCATCCTAAGCACACTCGTAACTGTGAGCCAAAGGACTTCCTTTTCTTGCTGGTCTTTAAACCATTGACATTGATCTTGTGTACTCTTGAGCCATTATTTTTATGTCTTTATTTCCTCTTCATCTTGCTTACTGTTTTATCTGTATGCTATCTTACTAATCATTCGTTCTGAGCTATCAATCACTTCGTCTAACAAATTTCAAACAAACAGTGAAGCTATTTTATCCAGGTCCCCTCCGAGCAGTATTGCAGGTATGGGTAATGCATGCGTATGTGTAGATATAAAATATCTTTTTGAGACATTAGTTTGTTAACATTGGAAATGTCTTCAGGTTAGAGGAGTATGTTCAGGTTGTTTGGATAATGGCTGTGGACTTTCAGGATCTGTAAGAAGAAAAGTGCTAGATTACCATGACACCGAGCTGCTTGGAAAGTATCCAGTAAAAACTTGAACCTTTTCCAGGAAAATAGGCTTTGAATGTGCTGACTATAACAAGAGAGCATTAGAAGCTAATTTGTTAGTGGGTTTATTATCACATTTTACTTTAAATTTGATCTCTTAAGATGTGTTGGGAAAAGAATTAAGCTAAGCATCAATATTTAGAATTGCAGTTGTAAAAATTAGTGGTACTCAGATAAGAACCTTTGCAAAGCTTTTTTACCCATTTGTTTAGATGTGGCTTTGGAATTATTTTACTCCTTACTGTAGACTGTCTAGAAGAACATACAGAAAAATTTAAAAAACCCAAACAAACAAACGAACAAACAAAAAAAACCCAAACCAAACAATCAAAAAAACCCCAAAGGATTGGTAGCAACCAGATGTTACCTTTATTTGACATGTGTTAATATGTCTTGAAAGTTTTACTTGTTTTTACTATGGAGCAGATTGAAATGATCATCTTCCTAAACTTATTACCAAAAAGAATGCAGTCTTCTTTTTTGGCTTCTTTGTGATTGCTAGATTTACCCTTGCTCTCACATCTTTGTGTGTTGGATGTTTCATAAAAACATTGCAATCTATTTTGTAATTCTGTAGGGCATATTCTTGGTAGCTAACAGTTGCTGGTTTTATTTTTAAATAGTTCTGGAAAATTTACAGCATAATAAAGCCTGGTGTACCGCCTTTGCAAGTTTTCACCTATTATGCATTAATGCTGAATATGTGTGCTCTACTTTACGCATACGGTAGTCAACTGTGATGGGATTGTCTAAAGTTAACCACATGCTAAGAGTTCATAAATAACATAACTAAGGATAACGAATTAAAGAGAAGACTGAGGAGTGGGAAGTGAAAACATTACAGCAACATCAAGAAAAAAAGTGTGGTTGTTCAGTTGGCTCATTTTCAGGCTTTCCTTGCAAGTTTTTGAATTGTGTCAGATTTTATGATCTAAATTCATGATATAGGCAGAAACAAATGTAAACTTTCTTCCATATTGGGATATTCCTGTGTGGGGAGAATATCTATCAGTTGTCTTACACTCCATTTCTTTGGCATTTTGATAACTAGAGGAGACCACTTTTTTTTTTACCATTTTGTAGCACTAACCTGCTACCCAGTGGGCTAAGGAATTGCCTGTATTTTTATAATTTTCTCTGTAACCAAGCAGCTGTGTACAGGCCACTCAGGAAGCTGATGCTCACCCATGGACAGCGGAAAAGCAAAACCAAGCTGTGAATGTCCTGGGCATTTGAGTATAGTAATAGATTTCAAAGGTCTGGAAATGGCAGTTCGAGATGCTGTCACTTTCTTGACATTACCTTCTTGAGTATGTCTATTAGCAAACAGTGCTTAATTATGCAATCATATACTTTCATATTCTGAGAGCAAAACCCTACCCAGTGTTTCACTTGAATTCTTGTCATTTCTGTTTTCGGACCGGTGCCTCACTTCTGCCGTACGATGTGCCTCGTGTCGGAGGAGTTCATAGTCCTTTCCTGTGCCAATGCAATCCTTGTTCACGATCCTCCTCCTGTTGCTGGACTTTTAGACCCACCCCAGTCTCAACAACATGCACCATGTTGTCCATGTCTCTGTGGCACAGGCATGTGGGGCTATACTGGAATTTTGGGGTTTAGCTTAGATTTATTTAGCAGTCTGGTTTTCACACCAAAGTGTTTTCTTTGTGGCGTTACAATGTGACTAAATTGCACCAAATTTCCACTGAATCAGTGACCAACACTTTTGTGATTGTGGGGCCATGTTCTTTCCAGATTTCATGTTCCTATCATTTTCTGTGGAAGAGCTTGGTCTCTTCAGGAACGTTCTCCGCGGCGGGAAGGCTGTGGGTTTGGGTTTTTTTCCCTGCTCTCTCCAGTTATTTTCAGAGCTCTCTGCAATTGAACTTGCACTGAAAACATGTTGGTTCTCGGTCAAGAGGGACTGGGACAGCCGTGCTGTTCTGGGTGATCTCCAGCCACTACACACTGAAGTGTCATTACCTATACTACTCTTAATGCCTATATTGTGTCTGACAGACATTAACAATGTTCGGTACATGCAAGGTGCAGTCTGTGCTGCTGTCTTGCTGAACTATGTAGAAAGGTTCTTAACAAAGAGTAGTAGAAAAGAGAATTGCGTTTGCCCTGCAGTTTTCTTCAAGCTCTTTGGAAACCATCCTGTATCCATAGAGGAGATCATAGAGCAAATTGGGTAGGTCAGCAGGCAGATCTGTATGGATTGTACGGTACGGTGCACTAAGTGTCCCTTACCTGGTACACTTTGGTCTACAGTGAAATAGTTAACAAAGGGAAAGCTCTGTCACTGTTGATATTCTCAGGCTCTTCTCAAAGCCTTTGCTTCAAGCCACTGGCAGATTCAGGCAGATACCTTCTTGCAGTGGTTTATAGCACATTCTCAAACAGGAATGGGAAATTCCTTGTTTAAAGTGAGACTCTGGAACACAGATTATTTTGTCCGTTCATTTTCTGTTTCTCACGCTCCTGCTCCCTACCCAAATCAGGCATGCCAGATTGTTCCCTTGCTGTAAGGCAGCCCCATTCAAACCCTGAAGCTAAACAATACACTGTTGGCTCTTGCTTCATTTCGTTGTAGTTAATTTGAAATTTTGAGAAACGAAGCATCCCTCTGTAAGAGCATCAAGCAAGCAAAATGTGTTTGATACTTTCTACAAGAAAGAGTACCTGCTGGAATGCCATGGATTCTCAAGCAGGGAAAGGATGGAGCCTTCCCGCTTCCACCTGGAAGAACCTTCTTTCTGGTTTTCTTTTTTTTGTGCCTGCCCCTCACCCCCTTTTGTATATTTTTAATTTATTTTTTTTTCCCTCACCTCCCTTTCGGATCATTCCCCTCCTTTCCTTGGCACTGATCTGGGTTGGGTGACATGTGCATGACACTGCCGGTCTGATTCCACCGTCCACGTTATATTTCCACGAGCAAGAGAAGGATCTGCACTTTTGCAGGGGGTTGTGGAGGGAGGTGTGCGTGCAGTGTGCCGCACCACTTACCGAGCGTGCTGTATGTGACTCTCGGTCTTTTACTTGCAGCTCACCCTTACGTAAAGATTCATGCTCCAGAGGAGAGGGGAAAATCAAGTGAACAGCATATTGTCTCTTGATTGATTAAAGAGCTGGGTTGCAAGGTGGGAAGTGAATTTAGGTTCAAATGAAAGACAAACAAAAGTAGGACTGGAATCTTTGCAATTAGGAATTTAAAATGAAATGTTTTTATGCAAAGCAAGTTAAGTTTTTGACTCTTCTTCCAAAGTCCTGTATACAGACATGCGGGGGGGAGAGGGCAATCCTAGGGGACTTCTGAGTCAATTTACCCTGAGTCTTGAGTAGTGATTGCTTGAAAACAGAAAGAAAATTTCAGAGCTAATCTAGTTACTGTATGAACAGAAATTAGTTGGACAGTTAGTAGGCAAACCTTAGACCTGAACAGATCTCTCTTGGGATATATTTAAAGTAACTTTTTCATCTGTTCCCCTTTCCTGCCTCCCACCGCACCCCCCTCCCTGCCCCCGCCTTCCCACTGAGTAGCAACAAACAATCTGTCTACCCCACAATGGTTAGTATAGCACAGAGCTTGATGCAGCCCTGGTTGAGGTCAAGCACTCCAATTCGAACCTCTCAAGGGCTTTCTCTATGTGTTGCCAGTGTACTGGTAAAAATGACTTTAAACTCTTGTCAGCGCAGTTACTGGTGCATGCATCACAGTCCCACTCAAATAAACCTGTCACAACACAGAGTCAGCAGCTAGAGAAGAGTACAAGGGCAGGCCTCTAGCTTTTCACTCGAGCATCACTAAACGTGCACAGAGTGCCCAATTATTTCAGCATTATTGAGCAAGCCTACAGGAGGACCCAAGCCTTGCTACATTAGATTTTCTTTAGTAATTTGCTCAAGTACCGCTGAGGACACTTAAAGGGCTTAAAACGGTGGCTGCAACCAGTTTCCTTTTCTGGATTGTTAATTCAGGTTTTCTCTTTCAAATTAACTCTCGCTGCATGCTGTGCAGTGGTGCTGGGAGAACTGTTTAACACTAATTTTCTCAATTTTCAGCTTTTTTTTTTTTTGCATTATATAACTGCTTTTATAGTTACATATGTTTTGATTAGACGTGTACGTGGTGCGTTTCTGCTAGAGAGAGTAAAATGTAATACCTCTGTCAGAGACATAAAAATTTCACTAAAACTGTAAAATTCCCTTCCTTTATTATTTTTTTAAATTTTTGCTGTTGTTCTTTTAATTCAGCCTCAAGTTTACCGATTGTGTTGTGTCCAAATGTGTGGGCATTTTTAAATTAGCAGGATGTTTGTGACAGTTGGTATCTGGATCAATGGGATGCATTGGTTGATCTGATCAATCACGTTCAGGATCAATTGGACAAGCCCTGGCACCCCGAACAAATTCAATATCTGTGTTTCGTTTTTCACAGCAGCAACAACTCCAGGCCCAGCATTTGTCACATGGACATGGTCTTCCTGTGCCGCTCACTCCGCACCCCTCGGGCTTGCAGCCTCCAGCCATCCCACCCATCGGCAGCAGTGCTGGTCTCCTGGCACTGTCCAGTGCCCTGGGGGGGCAGTCCCACCTCCCAATTAAAGACGAGAAGAAGCACCATGATAATGATCACCAAAGAGGTAGGCACTGCCAGAGGAACATGTGGCTTCATTCGTTTCTCTTTTCTTCTTTCCTTTTCTTTAAACTCTCCTCTTTTAAAAAAAAAAAAGGGAGGGGGGGTGGAGGCGGAAAAAAAGGAATCTTCACAAGAATTCCTAGCGACTTGCTTCAGTATTTATTACCTAGTGGTAGCCTGAAATTGTGTTCAAATGCTAGAAATCCCATTTTATAAATCTGGCTGCATAGTATTAATAATTAACTGTACAGAAAAGTTAACATCTGTGCAATTTATTATTTAACAGACATCAGGATTCTTTCTTCCGAATATGATAAATGTATAATTTTATGTCAACTAACTAGTACTTTTCTCTCTCTCTCCCTCCACCTCCCCATCCCCTGCCACTGCCTCCTCCCTTCTTTGCTCTCGGGGGCTGCTCTGCGTGCAGACAGAGACTCCATCAAGGTAAGACTCCATTTCGTAGGTGTAAGGGGTGGCTCGAAAGAGCTGCACGCTGTGTTTCTTTGACGTATGGGCCAGAGTGGTGGAAAAAGTCACAAACTGAAACCAGGTGGTGACGCTTGTTTTGATTAGCAGAGCCCTGCATACACTCTGAAAGTGGCTGGTGGCGGGGCAGCTAGGATTGTGGGCAACATTCTGTCCAGTGAGTTTGATACATACGCCTACAATTCAGCATATGTGCCTGGATGCTTGACCATGCTGGATAGCCACCAGAGTCTGTCAGAGGCTCCTGGGGTTTTATTGCTGCAAATGGGGAGGTGCATCTTGGCCCTACCCTCAAGTGGATCGATCTGCCCTCCTCAGTGCCGCTGACAGTTTAGCAACTCGCAGCAGACCCAGTTGTTGCTGGCTACACAGTTAACCTGCCCAGCACCGAGTAGATCGATGTAGTTACAGAGTGGAGCCTGAGTGGCTTTCACAATTTTCGGGAGCATAAGATTAAGCCTTTTTAGGTGACAATGAGTGTGAAATGAAAGATACCCCTCTCTTACAAAGGGCAAGACCTGTGCCCACCTTAGTGAGCACCTATGACCAATTTGTCAAGTTTTTAGTGGTACTTTTTTTAGGAAGATGTAATTTATTCTTGGCATTGGGCAAATGGCAGAAGAGGTGTTCACAACACGAGTCTTGGGTGCCCTAGACAAGATTACCAGGAGCTTTCCAGGCAGGTGTTAGCGGTATGCCCTAGGTGGGGTCTGGAGGAGCACAGTGCTGGGCACAGGCTTTGCCCCCACCAGAGCCCTCTCTGGCCGGGGCTGCCATGTGAGGGGCTATGCCTTTGCTTCTGCGGCAGCTCCAGGTGGGAACATGTCCCACAGCCTTCCCCAGCAAGCCTATTCTACCGCTGGCAACTCGGCCACGTCCCAGCCAAGTGCAGCTGAGCCGATGGTTGTCAGTTTTGCCATTACCCACATGGCTCTGCATAACAACCAGGAGCTGACAGGAACTGTCAGTTTTTACTGTGAGGAGCAAAGGCACTGAAGCTGTCTATCTGCCGACACAGGACAACAGAACGTTGGATTTCACTTCAGCTTCCTTGTCATGGCGGCTAGAAACTGGGATTATTGCTTTATGAGGCAAGGCTGGGTGCAGATTAATGATGATTTCCCTAGAACACTCCCTCTGTTCACTCCCTGTGAACAGATAGATTTAGTCCATTTTCTCTTGCATCCAAACAAACAGGTATGAGTAGAGCACATACCTAAATGTGGGAATACAAACCCACCTGGTTTCTTTAGCGAGTTTGCATACCTGTACAGCTGGAACCACAAGCGTTGTACTCAAGAAAGTGGAGAACTGGTGGTGTATGCCAGTCACTGTTTTTAAACAAAATATGCTAGTTGTGTTTCTGTAAGGTCTGTGGGATGTTGGGGTGTTTATGCTGGCATGGGTGTTACAGGGATTGTTTATACCAAAACTGCTGAGTTCGTCTGGGAGTGATTCAAAGGCATTGTTACTCATACAGCTTCGAGAGGGAGAGGAGGATGTCACTACTTTGTGCCAATTTACTTTGAAATGATAAGTAGATGTTTGTCTTGCATGGTGTTCAGGTTGTGAGTTGGCTTGTGTGTCAGCGTTATGGGGCTTGCTGCCAGCTTTGCAAGGTGAAATAGTTTGCTAATTTCCTTAAATGTTTCCAGTGATGCCCAGAGTAGCAGTTAGTCGCTTGTTCGATCGATCTGTCCTCCCTTAAGTGGCTCCTGGTTAAGAGAGGCTTTTTATGATTGTCTGCTATGTGACTTGAGATGGTTTTTGTCAGCTAGAACGTGCCAGTTGCCAGCAGCTGGAGTCTGTGTGCTTGTATGAAATAATTTATTCATGCAGGATAATGCTCCTTAACATTTAACAGGTAATGAACGTGACATAAATTTCCTTCTTGCTTTTAATTTTTCCCTTTCCTCTTCTAATGTGCAAACAGGCAGCTCTGGTACTCTAAATAGTAAGTAATTTTTGGCCATCTGTCAAAAGGAAATTTCAATACAAATTTAAATTAATGGTGCCTGAAATTTTTTATAGCTCCTCTAAAAGCCTCTAATGTGCAGAAAATTCTGAATCTGCTGGTAGTAATTAGTGTAGCATGTAATGAGGATATGGGCAATGTTATACAGCCCCAGTGTAACGTTTTGATATGGTAGCAAAATTTTGATTTATGCAAGGTTGTGCCTGGGTTTAATTGTGAGAGACACTTTAAAGTGTTTTCTTGCTGATACAGATTATTAAGCAGGGCAGATTTTAGAATAGCTCGTAAAGTGTAAATTTACACTTTAGTGTACTATTCAGATAACAAAGGTACCCTACCCATTTCTAAAAAGAAAGGAGTTTGGCAGAAGTGTCCTGTTTCTTGCCACCACTTCCAGCGCTTTGGATTTGCTGGGCAGTTGTCATCGTGAAACTTGCTGTCTCTAGCTGTGCTGGTCCCGACCCTGCCTCATGGTTCAGGCCAGGGAAAAGGCAGTTCGCGTCACTCTTCTAAATGTGATGTTTTCTGCCTGGTAGGCCAGATCGGGCTCACATCCTTCCCAGCACTTCCCCGGAGCAAGCAGTTCACTGCTGAAACTGAGTAGTCACCTTCCAGGTAACAGAAGATTGTCCAGGAGCTATTCCTAAATAATAGATCAGCATCGGCACAGCAAGCTCTGTGGAGAAGGGCAGCTTTGGGAGCTCTTTGATTTTGTGTTGGATTCAGTCCTCCGAATCGTTTGCAAAGTTTGAAGTGTGGGAAAACCCGAGACGCAGTAAACTGGGTCATGGGAGTGCTCTTTGTGCAGCGGCGAGGCTGCGGAGCGGACAAAGGGAAGGGAAGGGTGGCAAGCGCCAGGGCTGTGCTCAAAGTGCAGCCCTGGCTTAAGGGCTCTGAGGGAGTATAATGTGTTTAGACAGAAAGACAAACAGTTCTGCAGTTAACTGAGCAGCTTTTCACAGAGGACTTGGTGTGTCCCCTTTTCAAAGCAGTAAAACTTCTCTTTTTTTTTTTTTTTTTAAAAAAAAGAGGATTGTTCTGTGGTGGATTCTTGCTTTGCTAATTGCACCCCTCAAGGATTTTTCCACCTCCTGCAAGAACTGCTGATGCAGGAGGCATGTCATTCTTCCCAGTCCTGGTACTCTCTCTGGAACAAATGTGGCAAAAGTTTCTCTGGTCCCTAACAACGTCTCTTCTGTAAAACATAACCCTGTGAAGAAGCTAAGGAAGCATTTTGTGTGCAAAAGCACCACCTGGCAGAAAGTAGTCTGACACTAGCAGTCTCTTCCCGTGGCTCTCGCTGCAGCAGCTGGAGTGAAGGAGCCTCCAGATCAGACGCTGGCTGGGTTGTGGGTCTGCCAGAGGTAGCCGGGATGTCCCCGAGCAGGTTATTCAAGAATTGCAGAGTCTTCTGAATTGCTGCCTCACACATGAGGTTCAACTGGTGTAACTTTTTACTGCGTCTGTTGTTAATCCAGATCTGTTGTTCTTTATACTAATTTTATACTCGTGTGGTGTGTTGCCTTCCCCCCCCCCCCCCCCCCCC